TTTTGTTTTCTATCATCTACATGAGCTCATATGCACATTTTTGATGTATTTTGAGGTCGTGGATTCCAGGAAGACTCGCAATGGAAGAAATTAAAATAATATAAACAAAAAAACCCAGAATTTTTTCCTTTTTTTTGCTTTTAAAGACAACTTTCGATAACACATGAAAACTAACAACAACGTATGGAAACTTCTCACATGTTTGTACTCAAATCTCATTATTGCTTCACAGACGTACATGAATCAGCCACAACATTAAAACCGCCTGCCTAGCGTTGTGTAGACTCCCCTGGTGCCACAGAACCAGCTGTTATCCACTGAGACATGGACTCTGCCAACCTCTGAATGTGGTATCAGGCACCAAGACGTTTGTTTTTCCAGCTCATCCCAACAGATGCTCGATCGGATTAAGCGCTTTGGAATCTGGAGGTCAAACCAACACCTGGAATTCTTTGTCATGCTCCTCAAACCATCCAGAACAGTGTTTGCAGCATGGCAGCGAGCATTTTCTGGCTAAAAAAAAGGCTACTGCCATCAGGGAGAATGTACTGCCATGAAGGAGTGTACGTGCTCTGCAAAAATATTTGGACAAACGGTGTCAAAGTCACATCCACGTGAACGCCAGGGTCCAAGGTTCCCCTGCAGAACATCGCCCACAGCATCAAACTGCCTCTGCTGGCCTCCTTAGCGCATCCTGCTGCCATCTCTTCCCCAGGTACATGACACATGCACCTGGCAGTCCACATGATATAAAAGAAAAAAAAAAGATTCATCAGACCTGGACAGCCTCTCCCATGGCTCAGTTCTGATGCTCACATGCCAATTCGAGCGCTTTCAGTCATGGACATGAGTCAGCGTTGGCACTCTGACTGATGTGCAGCTACACAGCCTGTGATGCATTGTGTGGTTTTTTACCCCGCTCTATCACAGCAAGAATCAAAGTTTCAGCAATTTCCGCCTTCACTCCCCCACATGCATCACTGAGCCTTGATTACCCATGACCTTATCGCCAGGTCTTCCTTCCTTGGAACATGTTTGGGAGGTACGAACCACTGCACACTGGGAACGTACAACAAGACCTGCTGACTTGAAGATGCTCACGCTCAGCTGTTTGGCCATCGCAATTTGTCAAATTTGCTTAAATCCTTGAGCTCTTTTTGGATTCCATCAACTTGGAATCACATTTTGTCCCTTTAAACTCATTTGGTTAAAAGCATTATGATGTCCACGATTCTTCAAATTGTTCAGCTGCACCTCCGCCCCCGTTTTCTTCAAGTTGGATTACAACATAAAGAAAAAAGGAAGAACAATGGAATAAATACTTTGAGTACATCTAATTTACTACAGTGGCACTAATATTTCTTGTTAGCTTAATATGAATAAATGTAATCCAGTTGTATGTTACCAAACAAAACAATTTACTCAAACTGGTCCAACAATTTTCTTTCAGTGCATATTTGCCCATTTCTCATGCCTCCAACTCATCAACTTCCAGCACTGACTGCCCACTTGCTATCAAACATATTCCACTATTTCACTGAAATGAGGTGGTTATTGGCATTCCCTTCACATGTCAGTGGTTTTACAATGTTGTGACCGTTTGATGTAAAAACAACAAAGAAGACATAAAACCATGTAAACTGCTGATGCATAGAAACTAATTATAAAGATAATACTAGTAAACCTTTGTCAGTGTCGCGTGGCTAATAAACAAACACGCCTCTGAAGTCACTGTGATATTTCCAGCACCGCTTCTGGCTCCTGTTGTCGTTTACAGAGCTAAAAGATTGTGCACACGCTTCAGTTCCTTTCAGTGCGTGCACTATAAGAGG